TGGATTCTCCCCCCCCCTCAACTCCTTGCTTATAGTGGCATGGGGGAACGTTTAGGAAAGCCATGGCTACATGGTATTTTAACATCTGTAGTTCATGATTCCAAAACAGCACTACTTCTGGATGGAACATGAACGTATATAACTCGGCTCGTAGTCTTGTGAAATGAAACTTATCCGACGTAATGTAGTTTTACTGCCACCCCACTAGTTTTTGATCCATCCCTTAAAAAGTTTTCCAGAGAAAAATATACTCATGTTTAAAAAGAGGGCTGAATTCATTTTCACAGTTACTAAGTAAAACAACCGATAAAAATGTAAACAAACTGACGTACTTAATACTTGAGTTTAGCTGCTGCACGGGGGAGGGGAGATTATCAAAGGTTTCTGTTTTATGACAAATGAAATACACATGAGCAAATTATAATAAACAGTAAATATGCAAATTAATCAAAGAGTGAAAAGTTGTCAGAAAATCTTAATAAGACAACAAACAAAACCCAGATGCTTTATTGAAAAACACGCACATGATGTGTAGAAAGCTGCGGTATCTTTAGCAATTATATCACTTTGGAAACCGAAACCTTCATCGTAAACACTACGGAACTTTTCTCTTTATTCGTAGTAATAGTCTGGTTGCATCAGGAACTTCAAGCCATGTAGGATATGAATCTTGATTTGCCGTTTATCACAAAGCCAATGTGAGGTAAATATGTCAGTAGGGTTTTGGTTCCAATTTGATCTGTGTACCCACTTCATTCTTGGTTTGTAGTCGTGATATTGTCCTTTCGGACATGTGTACCTTTGAATAAAAAGAATATTAAAGCAAATTGCTATTGATTTCTGAGTCGATCATTTCAGTGTTCATATTTGATCTTGGCGGCTAAGGCAAGCAGTTACAGTCGTAGTTGGCGTTATTGCAATTGATTATTATCGATTGCTCAGCCGTGACGTCGAAAATATACATTGGGAGATCATGACTTTGCCAAGAATTATTGAAAATTATCTGTTAAATGAAATGATACCACTCAGAAGATGAAGAAGTAAAGAAGCTGGGCTATTCATTTATGTCATGACTAGCAACTTCTATCGTTTTTCGTTCGGCAAATATGAATTTTTATGCGCAAGTAGTAAAACATTGTACAGTGTGACATTACTAAATTCGTAACGTGGTGATCTCGAAACGACGCCAGAGAAGTAATTTTTTCAGTTTGTCGCTATCGCTCATTAACCAGTTTCAGGTTCTTTCTTTTGAGTTTCTACCGTCCACCTGATATCGTGAAGAAATTCATAGTTTTCTGTTTTTAAAATCTCTATCAGGCGTTACCATGATAGGCTTTGCCACTATTTTTATTCAAATGAGAAAAAATTTTCGTGTAGCTAAATATTAAACCTAGAAGCTGCACCATTTTACAATACCTTTCGTTTACCTTCCTATTGTTGGGTATAAATAAGTAGCAAATTATTTTTGTATAACTTGTAAATCATCTTCCATAGGCTGTAATTTTTTCTATGAGCCAAATTTACATTTGGTCTGACGGAAGATTGTATATACCGTTTCTCTTGTAGGAAATGACTTTGGCTTTTTAAATTGCGCAAGAAATGTTTGTGTCATCCTTCAGTCTGTTGTTGTAATTGTAAATTCCTCTGAGCGATTTTCCTTCCTTGCACACTTGTCAGTTAGTCGATGGTACTTGAGTATTTAGGGTTGCTTCATGTGGCTGTTCGGGTTTGGTACATTCCTTTTAACCGATGTAAACGGCTGCTATGAAAAAACCGCCATGTTTTACAGAGGTTCATACCATATGTAACAAAACATCGCTGGTGTTTATCATGCAAAAGGCAAATAATTTTGTCGTGTTGGTTAAAACCTGAGTGATTGTCAGTTTCAGTGTGAACTGTAAGCTTTTTGACATAAATAAACACAGATGCGACCAGAGCGATGAAATGGAAGAAGCATGGCGGTTTGCAGATGCGGCTTTGTGGTTAAGACGTGATGGTCTCAGATTTAATTAACGTATGCTATGCATTTAAAGATCTTAGCGAATTAATTCTTTGACCAAAGTTACGACTGCTGTAAAAGTACTATTGCAGAAAATCGTTACAAGGTGTCTGTTAAAGCTAAAATTCATTTATTAAGAATACTTGTCAAGTCTGCCTCGGCAGCACCGATGAAAAAACTGTCAAAATGAACGATTTTGGATATTTGCTGGTCTCATAAACGTTCAGAACAGAATGGAGATTTAAGAGAAAAACAGTAGAAAGATTGACCACTTGCCGAACAATTCCTAACAACAGTCTAATGCCAAAACTGTCATACGTTATATGTGTGAGGGTACCTCTCAGCTGCAGTCAAGATTCTTTTCGGAAACCACGTCTATAAGTCCTCTGTTAATAGCGTAATAATAGTTACAGAACAGACGCAATAATATGAAGATGAAGAAAAAGAAGACATCCTGAATATTGTAGATCATGTGAAAATGCATATGTATTTGTTTTATGTGCTGATTTTGCTTATTGTCTTTTGCCCTCAGTACGATTACTATTTGCCGTCCATGCTGTGATCATTTTGCGCCGATAGTAACCGCAGTTGTTTATATTAATTGACTGCCTGATTGGTTGAGACTGGCTATTGGCAGATCCTCACTGGCACAAATGACAAGTGTAAACCTGTTGTTGTGTTTGCAAAGATCGCCACCTTGAGTCGTTTGTATAATCCAAACTTACAACACTTATTATTAATCACCGGTTACTGTGTTGCAGAGAGAAACATTCCTCCCCAAAAGTAGACCTTTTTTAACTTCTTCCTCGATGTCATTTGCTGGTCGACGTCTGCCCTCTAGGTTTTCTGATGAGAAGCTCGCGGGTTGGAGTAAAAGGTATATTAACCAGTTGGCACAGGGCTCACCTCGTTTTCTTAATCTCTTCATCTACCGAGGTCACTTGTGCTCGGGAGATAATAGAATTATTCATTGCGAAATCCTGCCATTTAACCCTCAGTATGCACCGAAACCAACGCTGCTAGACTGAATAGGGAACGTTATGATTAATGGCGAATACTGTTGTTTTCTTGGTTCATGGTTCAAAGCAACAGGTTACTGGTATGAGGTGGAATTACGTGTTAGGCTAGGCGTGATGATTAGGATAAATTTGCATAGGACATTTCATGATGTTAAGAGAATCAGTTACGAGGCATTTGAATAATGTGATTCGCTTTCGATTAATCCTTGCAACGAAATTGGCCGATTGCGTTCCATCTGTCACTAATGTTGAGGGAGCTCATATTCGACATTCGTTTGCCACGATCTTCATCGGTTTTTTAATTGCTGGGCATGCATTTGACCACTCTTTGTTAGCAGAGTTCATTCATTGGAAAAATCCATGTCCAAAGTAGGAAACATACAGAACCGTGACAGAATTCGGTCTTCCCATTTCTCATATTGCCTGACCTAAACTTCCTTTGGTTTTTCAAATGTACAAGGCACGAAAGTCATTGCATCGGATATTAGATACATAGTTCATCAGCTTTATTGTTTCCGAATGGTGAAGCTTCCCCGAAATCTGTAGGTTTTTTCATCATCACCTGGAGGCTGATAATCTTAGTAGCTCCCATTGTCTTACGTTAATGATATCCGCAATTCCGTATATCTGTCATCTCGTCTGTGGCATTGCCCGGTTTATGGTAGGTTCGAACTGTTAGGCCATGTTGAAAACTGTAAGCATGAATGAGATGGTTAAAAACTGTCTATCTTTAAAGTAGGTTTCAGTTTCCATAATTTTTTTGCTGTAGTGATTTGATGTTAGTAATTTTCCATATGTTCTGTTTCTCCGTTCAGAGCTGAACGCGTGCTCCGAGAACCCCAAGCCTCATTCTTTATAATGTTGTTAGGTATTCACGTATAGTCGCAGGGCTGTAAATGTACGTACTTGGCAGAATATTTAGATTTTCGATATACTTATAAGTTTACAACGTATTGCAAACTGATTGATTAATACTGATCAGTCTATAGACTGCTGGTATTCGCCTCTAATTTCTTGATATGCTTCATGTCCAAACTGTACATCTAAGTGTACTTGCAGCTGTGAGTCGGAACGCATAAAAAATTGTTCGACCTGTAGTTATTGCGGCTATGCTATCCTCTAGCTGGAAATAGCCACTGCTTAAATAACCTTACCAGCATCGGCTTCCGTCGCCATGTCCTCGGTGACCAAAACCGCTCTTCAGCGAGACGTCTTCGAGCAGCATGATGAGAGAATCCAAGGATTCATCTGCGTCACCGGCATCACCCGCAAGAAGAAACACTCCGTACTTTGTCTCACAAGTAGGTTTTAGCCGCTTCCTTGATGGCGGATCCTCATCATCGGTTTATGACCTAAATTTTCATGTGATTCTAGTCTCTTATTTGCATCCGGTCACAGTGCGTTTGCATGAATTGCGTCGAAGCGACAAGGCGAGTCAGTGGGAAAAGAAGAACACGTGGCTTTTGAACGAGTTGAAAGTTGTCGACGGCATTAACCCCAGAAAGGTGAGCTATTCTAAACATTTTTTGTTACTGTAAGTTATCTTTATTTTTTATCATGGGTCCTAACTGGACGAAGGCCTCTCCGAGACTTTGCCGTGCTGTCCTGTTTTTCCTATGTTGGTTTTCCTATGTGGGAACGTAGACATAACCGATCGTAATCTGACTTATATGCCCTTAACGTCGACGTTTTTTTGCGAACGTTACCCCTAGAAACGGTAATTGATAACTGGGGTTCTTACAACTTAAATCTGTTCACTAAAGAATTTAATCTGTTGGTGTCAGGTTGGAAGTTTTCATTGTCAGCAACTGTTTATTTCAGGAACAAAAACTGCCTCATCATTTCCTTTTTTATCCTTCGGATGCTCATACCTCGAGGCTGGCTTAAGTGCTAATTTACTGCAGATTGAAACCACTAATTATGTTACTGCCGTTCTACAACCTGAATAGTGCAGCACCAAAAGTTCATAGGACTTCATAAGTTGCCATCATATTTCTTTCCAATTTGAGCCTACAGCGGCGGTTTGCTCTAAATAGTTTTGCAAACATAAAAAAATAAAGCGCACGTCTGTCATTCAAAATATCACGACTTCCTACCCTGGTTTCTTTTGTGGTAGACAAACGAATAGCACTATGTGAAACGAATGGTGTAGAGTACACACTAAGTTGCAAACGTATCAGTCGACAGTTCTTTCGTAAAAAAGAAACTGATTCAATTATTTTGAAGACCTGACATTCTTGGCATTGGAATCCAGGTCATTG